TTCACAAAGTCAACATTCTTACCACTACAGACAGCGTAAACGTAGCACCGAGTGCCTTGGCAATCTGTACACCACTCGAGCCGGTCCCACCACTGGCACCAATGACCAACACATTCTTGCCGGCCTCAGTAACACCACCCTGTCTAAGGGCATGTAAGCTGACCAGACTAGCCACAGGTAGAGATGCAGCGACCTTGGGGTCAACCCCTTGGGGCACATGGGCTATCTCACTCACATTCGCCGTCGCGAATTCAGCCATAGAACCAGACTTGGTCTTACCAAAGACGAGATCGCCAACCTTGTAATCAGCCGAGCCGATAGTGACCCGCCCAGCAAAGTCGAAGCCCACTGCTGTACCAAGTAACCACCTCGAAACCCCAGGGAGAGCTGCGAGTCTCAAGTCAATGGGATTAGTAGCAGCAGCAAGAACTTTGACTTGAACTTGGGAGGCAGTCGGCAGAGGCATCGGTTGATCTTCCCTCCACCCCATCCCTGAACCACTCGAGTCGTACACGAATGCTCTCATTGATAGAAAACTGAACAAATCTGAGAAACAACATTGTCAATACACTACCTAATGATCGAATACTTCTACGGCTCCTTGTAAGGCCGCCAGCGCTGTGAGGAAGATACGACACAACCGCTGTCCCTTTTCTCATCACAAGGAAATAGCCTTTTCCCTTACCACTTGCCCTGTACTTCATACAACACTGCTCTACTCATAGTAATCTCAATAGGTGTTTACTTTGATAAGTTTTTGTAATGAAAAGAAGAGAATGACAGAAGTGACCAGTCGACTGACCATCACGACTGTAGAGGCAAATAACGCTTTAGTGTAAGACACTTTCAATGTTCCATCTCGAGGATGATCTTCCCCTTAGCCCTCCGACTCTTCTGCAACTCATAGGCCTTCTTGCAGTTCTCCTCGCTGAAGTCCAGAACCTCCGCAAACTGAATCACGAGCTTTTTCTCAGCGACCAATTTAGCAAGGTAATCCAAATCCTTGGTGTTGAAGTCCGAGAGGCACATGGAATAGCCCGACCTCTGAACATTGAAGGGAAGACTCTTCGACAGGATGAACCTCAACCAATCAATACGGCTGGGGGAGTTGATAGCCATATACATACTTCCCTTCTTGAGAGTCTTCCGAGCGGTTGGTTCATAGTTAACATCCTCCGGGCTCGTGACGGTATCATAGACAACATCGATGGTGCCCGCAGGACAGTCATCATTGGGGAGTTCAAAGCCTTCCTTGGTGTAGTCCATAACGACATCAGCTCCCAGAGACTTCACAAAGTCAACATTCTTACCACTACAGACAGCATAAACCTTAGCACCGAGTGCCTTGGCAATCTGTACACCACTCGAGCCGGTCCCACCACTGGCACCAATGACCAACACATTCTTGCCGGCCTCAGTAACACCACCCCGTCTAAGGGCCTGTAAGCTGACCAGACTAGCAACAGGTAGAGATGCAGCGACCTTGGGATCAACCCCTTGGGGCACATGGGCTATCTCGGCAGTATTAGCGATCGAATACTCAGCCAGAGAGCCTCCAACAGCCTTGCCGAAGACCACGTCACCCTCCTTGAACTGACCAGAGCCGATCGTCACCCTCCCAGCAAAGTCTATGCCAACAGGACGCCCTTTGATTTGACGTGATACGAAGGGGACGTGAGGCAACTTATAGTCCACAGGGTTGATGCTAGCCGCAATGACCTTCACTTGAACTTGCGACTTGCCGGGCTTAGGCTTAACCTGTTCAGCAGCCCAGGTCATTTCATTGGTCTGAGGGTGATAGATGTATGCTTGCATTGACGACAAGTAGTTTTATAACAAATCCTGAACAAGGTCAGACTAACTTCGAATAGCTACAGCAGTCATCCTGAAGAACAAAAGACTCTACACAAAATTCTGTCTAC